ATATGTCACACCTAAACTTTCATATTTACATACATAGCGCTTTGATGCTTTAAACCTATGCATGAATAGGTATATATCACTTTTAAAAGGTGATAAATGTGTGATTTTTTATGTGATATTAAATATTTGAGTGCAATGTATGTAAATACATCCGAATTGTATGCGAGTGTTATGTATGTAAATATTTAAAGACACAACTTTGATGCATGGCAAAATGAGATGATTTAAAATTGGCGAAAAATTAAACAAAACAATAATAAATAAGGACAAGGGTTATCAGACAGCACAAGCACCAAGTTAGCAAAAAAATTTAATTAAAAGACAATATAGTATGTTGTGATTAACCTCATTTCTCATGTTTACATTCCAAGCATGTAAGGTTCCATCTCCAGATCCTGTAAGTTGCAGTTTCAAAAGCAGTCATTAACCCATGAAACAGCCGCAGCAAATCTCCAGATCCTGTAAGTTGCAGTTTCAAAAGCAGTTATTAACCCATGAAACAAGAAAATATAGGTGAACAAGACGGAAAGGCAAACACAACTCCATCCAAATTTTTAATGGGGCATGTACATACATACCACTCATTTCTTATGTATTTACATATCAAATATCTAAAAGTTTACTTTGTACATTTACACCACTCAATTATTTCATATCACATCAAACAAACTACTACTTTAACTTTTAAAAAGTAAAATACACCTTTTCATATACAGGTCAGGTGGTGTATATATAAAAATTAAACTTTAGGAATTAGATATGTAAATACATAAGAATTGAGCAGTATGCATGTAAATCTTTCATTTTTAATTTAACCCTTGAACGATGACGAATATCCATAAATAGACTAGAAACATAAACTTGCTATTTCAAAATCTACATGATAGATTTTAATATTCATATACCAGCACTAATCCACAAAGCAGCTATATAAACGTTCTTCCCCTTACAAGCTTGCAGAAGTGAATATTTTAGATCATTTCTGAAAGGAAAAAAAAATATATGTTTTCCTCTTAACATAAACTATGGAACGCATAAACATAGAGGGAGAAGAAAATAACTACATGAACACGTGATTATGACACTTTAATAGAATCTATTAAAATTCATGTGGAAGATGCAGCCGAAATGGAAATCAAACTAAGAAGGTAATAAAAATACATAAAATTAAATCTCAAGATAACTAGTAAAGAAATCAGGTACATAGCTTATCTGTTCAAGGACCTTGCTTGTGCTATGTCATGATTACTTCTTAAATAACACATCAACGGAAACAGTTATCTGTTTGGCTCAGAATGATAAATCTTAATTTTCCGCATAAAGCAATTTTCAAACTTCACAAGTAAATCACATCGCCTAAAATAATATCTACTTTTGCATAAGCAAGAGAATCTGGAATACACAGCTAAAAGTATAGCATTCGGAAACTGGGAAACAAGAAATGCAAAAGAAAATTTGACTAGAATCTATAGGAATAAAGGAGAATAACGCACAAAAAACAAAAGAGTATAAAAAATAAAAGTAATTCATAAAGTTTGAGAGACAAGAGTTTGCATGTCCACATACATGGTAGAAATGCAAACTGTTCATAAAAATATTTAAGAAGAAAGATATACCTGAAATAACATATTTTCCATCTGGAGTGAAAGAAGATTCAGTTGTTATGTTAGAAGATGGCTCTAAACTGAATCCACACCGCTAAGCATGATGAGAAACAAGATCAGTTTAATAGCCAGAGAATGAGCCAAGATCCTATGGCCTTGTTTGAGATCAAGTTTGTTTTTTATTTTTGTTCTTATTTTTGCTTTTCCTTTTGTTTTAAAAAAAATTTATTAAGTGTGCTTTTACATGTTTTTATTTTTTATTTCTAAAAATAAATAAATGTGATTTCGAAAACACTCAAAATAATTTTTAGTTGTTTTGAGTATTTTTAAAAACAGTCATACTTTAATCAAAAGCAAAACATATTTTATTTCAAATAAAAAAATAAATAAAAAAAATAAAATAATAATAATAATAAATAAAAATGATCCCAAATGGCCCCTAATAGATATTAAAATTGTACCACCAGGAATAATGATTCCAAGCCATTAATATAGAAAAACAAACCTTATCCCCGCAGTAAGCATCCAGAACATAGACATTGTTGCTTGTTGTTGTTAAAAGCATAGACTTCCCATCATTACTAAATTTGATATCACAGACTTCAGCTGTGTCTCCACCCACTAGAAAAGTGTCGAAGGGACCCTGACAGGTAAAATAAGAAATTATTACAAGTAAATGGAAAAACCCTTATGGTTTCATTAACAAAGAGTAAACCTTGTCGTAAGATCGTGAATCAAACAACTTAATAGCGCCGCCTTCCATTGATACAGCAAAAACAAGGCCCTGTTGATCATATGCAACAGTCGGCCTACCACGCAACCGCAATATTCCCTGTAGACAAAAAAAGTACTTGTGAATAAAATCAGCTAAAATAAACGTAGGGCCCATTAGGCATCAATTTATTTCTTGTTTTTGTTTTTTTTTCTTTTTCTTTTATTTTTTAAAAGATATTTGTCTGGTATAATTTTTATATACACTTATTTTTTGTATTAAAAAACTAATTAACTTTTTAAAAACATTCACAAACACCTAAAAGATGTCTTGGGAGTTTTTAACAACAATTAGCTCGATCAAACAAGTTTTAATTTAAATCAAAACACAAACAAACATTTGGTATCATTTTTTTATTCATCTTTTATTTTTATTTTTATTGTATTTTGTTTATATTTTGATATAGATTAAAACATTTTTAATTGATGAAATTATTTGTAAATGCGTTCAGCATATCTTTTAAGTATTTTGAGTATTTTGAGTGTTTTTAAAATAAGTTGTAAATGCGTTCAGCATATCTTTTAAGTATTTTGAGTGTTTTTAAAATAAGTTGATTTGTTTTAAAAAATAAAAAATAAAGACATTAAAATTATACCAACCAAACATGTATTTAAAAACAAAAGAAAAATAGAAATAAAAACAGGAAACAAAAGTAATGTCAAATAGGCCATTAATTTCTGTCGAACTTAATAGTACTTAATAAAAGAGACTACTGTTCTACTACAAAAACAGAACATCAAGGAACTCTAACCTGACAAGCATTCACCCGAAGGTCCCAGATTCTAACACTGTGGTCAAGAGAACCTGACATAAAACTATCATTGATAGGAGACATGCAAAGGGAGACAACTCTACAATCAACATGCAAAAAAAAAAGAAGTTAGGTAGATACAGAAAGAGTTTAAAATTACAATTTCAAACAACTTTTTCCAAATAGTGAAGATTAAACACCTTTTTTTATGCCCCTTGAAGTAACGCAGGCATCGATTGTCATACATAGAAAGGTACCTCAATGATTCTGATAATAAATAATCGCACACTAAGCTATAGCAATGATTCTGATGATAAATAATCACCCACTAACCCACTAACTAAGAAAGGTACTTAAATGATTCGGATAATAAATATAAGCACTATAATTAAATTATGTTGAAAGGTTAAAAAACATAAACGGTAAAGAAATTAACCATTTGTAGACTCCAAATTGTATCTTGATGAACATAAAATGGAACTTGGATGATGTGTGAAACAGATACTGTCCGCGCCATGTTTCTTATGATACATTGTCTTCAACAATCTGCAAATAAATTTATTCTCTCACTATTTGGGATGAAAGAAAAAGAAACAATCAAATCACAATATTCCAATATAGGCCTATCCGGGTTATAAATTATAAACGCCATAAAAAGCTTATTTCTTTGATAAACTGGGAAGGTTAACTTAACTCGGCATCAAGTGCAACCGTTGCCATACAAAAGCCAAAAACTTTATAAATGGGTTTTACTTCATCTCAAATTACATATCAAAGAGAGGATGTAAAAAATGTGGAAACATGTTTTCCTAGTGGAGTTATGTGGCAGAGAAAAGAAACAATTTAAGAAAACAAATTTACTTTAGCACGGAGTTTCAGAGAAAGCCAAAAAAAAGAAGAGAAAAATTATCTCAAAGCAGAGTGAAGCAGGTTGCATATATTTTGCAAAGCTAATGGCATAATTTTTTATAATTTAGATGATTGTGTTTGATAAAACTATAGCATTTATTGCATTAATTTAAGTGCTGAAATCTTATGAAATATCAGAATCTTTCATACATTCCAGCCCTTTAAATCTTATTAAATAAAAAGTTGCGATGGAGCTTTCATGTCGATAAAGAGATTTTACATAATGTTACAAAAATATTTGGACAGAAACTTTATTACAAACAAAATAGAATCAAAATTCACACTATGCTTACATGGCATCTACAATACTGTAGAGGCGTACTGAATCATCTTCACTAGCAGTGACAAGTAGATCGTCTGTACGATGAAAATCAAGAGAAGAAATACTCCCTCCCTGAAAAATAGATTTTCAGGAAAGATAAAGTTAGAAGCTTCAAGAAGATAAGGAGATAAAAAAGCATGTAGGAATTATGGTTTAAATGTAGCTTTAGGGCAAAATGAGAAGAATATTATGAAATAGAAATATACTTTCTAAGGAGTGGTAAAAGATATTTATTACTGAGAAATACAAAAATTATTAAAAAGCTTAAATATTGCAAAGAGAATAGTAACAAATCAAAAAACTTATTTATATAATAGGCTGGATAACAAGGAAGAGAAAAATGAGAATTATAAAAGGACGCCAGAGAAAAGAGATATATAAGTTTTTTTAGAATTAGATGAATTAGAAATAAGACAGCAGTGTTTCAGTTGAAGCTGATATTAGTAAGGAAAGATGAAAATGTCATTTTGAAGGTACTAGATGAAAATTGCAAGAATAAAAACATTCTGTAAAAGCATAATGAACATATAATAAAATACATTACGAATTGATAAAAAAAACGAATAAAATTAAGTCTAAATAAGCATAAAGGTAAGATTTTAGGTCTTTATAATACTATTAAAATTTAGAGAGCTATGGGTTATCTTGTACTAGTTTGATATACAATTATTTTCAATGGGTTTTCAACAACAAAAAGGATGGAAAATGTCTCGAGAAGCATCATTTCAGGTATTTAAGAAGAAAGGAGATGGATAAATAAAAATGTTTATGATTGTTGTGGTCATAAAAGAATTAAAGCTATGTCATGCAATGAAAATAAAGAATTAAAAAAACTACATAAATGTAAAAAAAAAATGGATTGAAAAAGAAAAAACATCATGCAATTTCAAGTGATCATAAGAAAACATATGATTGGCTATCAAAATAATTAAGTTGGTGCAAGCTAAGAAAAATAGTGCGTTAAAGGTATCCTGAAATTATTAGAGAAATGTATAACGAAGCATTTGCTAATATTAATGTTTCCGTTCATTTTTCTCTTTTTTTATTTTAAAAGGAGTCGTCAGCTTGTCGATTATCGTATACTTCCCCCATTCGAATAAATCTCCCTCTCGAATCATATTATAAATGATTCGAAGAGGAGAGGAACCGAATAAGAAGGGACATACGACAAAAAGACAAATAAGAGAAAAAGTAAAACGTGGAGAGTCTACATGCGATAAATTTCGCAAGGATAGGTTAAGAATGTCTGCTCAAACAAGATCGGGCGGAGGCACCTTAAACCAATATTCGCGAAAGAAGTATCTACGTAGATTACCCATAACCAGAGAGTCAGGTGTATGTACATGTTCTGGGGTCAAGAGCACTCCCAGAGGAACGTGTTTCTACTGGTTAATTACATCTTGGGGGATACCTAAGAATACTCTCGATAAAAGAAGTTTGGTTTCATACTATCATAGACTTGGGGTATATGCAATCAAAGGAAGGTTATTCTGTGTGGGAACAGTCTTGATGTTTCAAAGCTCGCGCTAAGTCGTCAAACAGAGAGTGAGTCTCTCACATCCCGAATGGATAGCGGCTCATCGGCACACAAGACCCACGGAATAACCTAAATCATCTTGACGAGTATATCCCAACACGTCAAAGCACGTCCGGGCCAAAAAGCAGAGGACAAATCGTCGTATCCCAAATGGGCGGCAGCTCATCCGCATCAGGCCGTAAAGTTGATATCAACGAAGTCAATGAGCGATATGACTCAAAGGGGTTCAATAAAACGGAAGGTAGAGTGATCCTAAAAGGTAGAGGTAACTGGGTCGGGGTATCACAGACCCGTCATACACAGCTATTAGGACCATAAGTCTACCTGGTCGTAAAGGTAGTCGACCCAACACGTCCTGAAATCCCCAGTCAGCAATCTGTGAATTGCATCATCCACGGGAACCTCGGTAACCCTAAGGTCAAAGAAAAGAAACTCTATCCTATGACTACAAGTTGTAGCTCCAAAAGGTGAGACTTATACCTGTCGAAATGGTGAGGATACCTCAGGAAAGAAAGAGAAAGTGGAGGTTCAGCTACAAAGCTGGAAACA